GCTGGCCAATCCAGGAGTCGAACACCTTGCTTCTTCATCCACTGCTGGATGGATTTGGCTCGATTACAAGGAGCGTTGTCATCCTGGAAGTAAAAGTCCTTCCCTACAAGTTGCTGAGCTGAAGGAAGCATGGACTTTTCCAGGAGTTCAACATATTACTTGGAATTCATGATTCCCTGCACGATTTTTATCCGACCAATACCAGAAGCAGCAATACAGCCCCAGATCATCATGTGCAGTGGATGCTTCACAGATAGATTCAGGCAGGATGGCCTAAATACTTCAGATGGAAATCTTCTGACATACTTATTGCACTGATTCCCAGTCAAGTAGTAATTGCTCTCGTCACTGAAGATGACCGTGGCCCACTGTTCGTTGGTCCACTTGGCATACTTCTTGGCCCATGCATGTCGACGAGAGTGGTGAGTGTCTGTAAGCAAAGTTTTACTTCGAGCCCTGCAGCCTTTAAGCCCTCTGGCAAGCAGTCTGCAATGCACTGTGCTTGTGCACACTTTTACATCACATGTTTCACCCCAAATTCTTGTAATCTGAGGTGAGGTGAACTTCCTGTCAGCCATCGAAATGTGTTGCAGAGCCCGATCTTGCCGGTTTGTCGACTTTCTTGGTCTTCCAGAGCGGAGGCTGTCATCAACTGAACCAGTTATTTGGTATTTTTCAACCACTTTGCTCACTGTGGTGCGATGGCACTTCATTCTCTTGGCTATTTTTGTATAGGAGTAACCCGCTTCATGAAGCACAATGATGCGATACAGCTACTCAGTACTGGTGAAAGCAAAGGCCTTCATCCTTGCCCGCAACCAGAGCACATAAACTCACTCATAATCTTAAAAAGACTTCGGTTATCTTAATAAAAATTATGCATCTCTATCCGACTACAGAAATTTGCATCAAAGTCCTAATTTTGCATTGTTTTTATGAGTGAAAAGTTGATTAAACATGTAAATACAGCTTAAAACTGAAAGCATGCAGGACTTTTTCACACAGCTGTATATTTAATAAGTTGGGGAAAGCACTACTTCTAAAGAATATTATTTTACAGTGGAAAAATAGCATATGGATTTTCTGTCATAAATTAAAGAGAGCTATTTGCTCATTACATATAAATTTGCTTTTTAATTAACTAGACAACCCTGTTGGGTCATTGTTTTAAAGATATTTCCTTACCTAAACTGAGAAACAGAATGACTACAGGTGGGAAAAAACTAGTAGGAATAGGAGTGACCAGCAACTTCCTGCTGACTTCTCCATTGAGTTTCCTTACGGAAATCTGGCAGGGAGCATCAGAAATGTCCCCTTGTCTTCTCAGCAGACAGGTAAGTGGCTGCTGCTGGGATTGTAGGAGTGATGGAGAAACTCACGGAACATTGAAAATGGAGATCTTGTGACCACAGTAGCAGCAGTGCAATGGCCATCAGGAGCACTGGGAGCAGTCATGACTTCCCCAGATTTCATTCCCTATGGAACCAGGGGTCCTGAATTTTGGCACATTCTGTAAGCAAGCCCATTTGAGGTACATTGATTCAAAATTTCTTGCCCTATGATGCAACATTTCACCTATTTGTCATAGCAAGTGTGTGTATGTGTGTGTGTATGCACACACAAACACTGCTGATTCAACTGCTTAGGGCTGTAAAGCACTATGAAGCGGTATATAAGTCTAAATGCTGTGGCTACTGTTATATACAATATGTGTGTGTGTGTGTGTGTGTAGAGAATGCACAGATACCTAAATTGAAACAAAATAGTGCATTGGGATCATCTATTCCCCTCTATAGTGCAAATAATTTAAAGCTAAAACCTGATTTATTTAATCCCAAATTTATCCCAAAGGATAAATTCTTTGTGCCTTTGTTTTTTGTGTATACTGTATGTGTGCCTTCAAATCAATATTGACTCTTGGCAACTACTGCCTGCAATCTTTTTTTTTGGAAGTGGTTTGCAATAGCTGCCTTCCTATCGCAAAGATTAAATGACTGGCCCATTTCGCTGGTTTTACGCCCAAGGCAGGCTTAGAACTCACAGCTTTCTAGTTTCTAGCCCTGTACCTTTAACCACTGCATTAAATTGGGTATCATGCATTTGCTATTACATGTATTTTCCAGGAATTAAGCAGCTAGTTTTTATGTTCTTGAAAAGCACTTGTTTTCAAGTTGTTTCTCAGAAAAGTAGTTGTCACAGTAGTGATATCAAGTACCTGAAACAGTTTTAATTTTGGCCAGAAGTCTGTCTCAAATGATTAGTAGCTAAAAATTAAAAGACTCTGCTAATAGATTAGAATTCTTGATGTTATGTCATAATTTATGGCAAATTGTGGATATGGTTGCTTAAATATATGTAAAACAGCTTGTAGCTTATGCATTATAGCATCAAACTGTTGGATTTGAGTGGGTGATGACTATAACAACACTTGGATGTGGAAAAAGATGTATCTTGAATAACTGATGTAGACATGTGAACTATTATCTGTCACTACTGGGACAGAGAATGAGAACGTTGAATGCTTCTTTGGAATAATCAGATGGTGTTAACAATTTATAATTAATAGAGTTGGAGGGGAGTTTCATCTTCAAACCTGGACATTTAATAACTACAAAGTTTTTTTATTTTGCTTGAGCCTGGTATGCATATTACATATTAAAATATTTTGGAAATGAAGTTATACATTAATAATGTAATTGGTAATTAAAGCTATAAGTTCATAGAATGTGTAATGAACATACTTGTTTAGTAATACACCCACTCATCAAATAAAAGGATAAGGCATCCAACAGCTGGGCTCACTACGGTATTAAAATCCTTAGGGTAGTCCTACACTAGGGTTTTTGTGCTTTTTAAAATTTGAAAGTAGATGAATGAGTTACTTGCGCTTTCAATATTAATACAAGTCCTCCTTATTTACTGCCATTCATAACTGAGTGGTCACTGAACAAGAGGTTATAACCCAAGGACCATTTGTAGCAACCTCAGCAACATAGGAATGGAAACAGATAAATATTTTCTACTTCCACACTTGACTCCTCAAAACAAGTCCCAAATTGACTCTCTCCAGCAGTAAATGTTAGGTGATCTTTCTGCTGAAAATCATAATATAATATTGAGCCAATTTTTTTTATTTGGATTCCAAATACCCAGAAGAGATTGGAATATATTCTCTGGGTATTGCAATGCAATATATTGAGCAAAATGGGTGGAGGGGGAGTAGGGGAACTAAAGAAATTATGGAGAATCTGGAATACCTAGCAGGTTTTTTTCACTTGAGTTCCCTTTTGTTCTAGAATAATCTGTATTTAACAGAATAAGAGTTGGCAGGGACCTTGGAGGTCTTCTAGTCCAACCCCTTGCTCAGGCAAGAAACCATTTTACCATTTCAGACAAAGGCTTGTCCAGGCTCTTCTTAAAAACCTCCAGTTTTAGAGCACCCAAGCTTCTGGAGGCAAATAGTTTTGCTGATTAATTGTTCTAACTGTCAGAAAATTTCTCCTTAGTTCTAGATTGATTCTCTCCTTGATAGGTTTACATCAATTGCTTCTTGGCCTACTTTTATTTATGTAACAGTTAGAACTTGTTTTCAATCCTACATTGGCAAATAACAGTATTTGCAGTTTTCTCTCAAGACATGCATAAAAGAAATAAAGAAAAGCATACGTAATAGTCATTCTTGCTGTTTAAAGATGTTTCATGCATTACAACTGATTTGAGTATATTGTCAGAATTAGAATAGGAGATAACCTTGGGCCCCACACAACCCAGCCCTTTTCTTCTTTTCAGTCCAGTGGAATTTTGGCAAGAAGTGATATAAAGATGGCTAGGCATGGCTAACAGCCATTTTATGCGATAGTTAAGAAAATGGGAGACTATGTTCAAGTTACAACCTAGGCACAAGGTTAGCTGGATGACCCTGGATCAGTCTCTCACACACATACTCAGTCCTAGGAACCAGGTAATGGCAAACCATTTCTAAAATCTTGCCAAGAAAACTAGAGACATGCTTAAGCAATTGCCAAGAATCAAGACTTGTTTCAGAGGCATACAAACACACATTGACAGGATATGATGAGGCTATAGAAGAAACAAAGATTCAGAAAATATTCCTTGTGAACCCTAATGATAGAAGAATTGAACAGTGGGTCATGTGACTCAGTAGCTCATAAACAACCTTTTCTGTGCTGCTTCTTTCATAGGATAAAAAAATAAGAGTGGTCAGCAGTGTTAATGGAGATGGAAAGAATTCAGGAATTCTTTATATGCTTTCCCTACTTCGTTTATACAAGAAAATCACTGGCAAAGAGCCAAAATCTTTTAAATGAATCTCTCCGGAATTATTTTCTGCAGGAACTTTTTGAAATATTTTTTTAAACTAAGACTTTGACAAATGAATGTTGCTTACCTTGAATACTCTCATTCTCATCTAATGAGTTTCAAATTATATTTGTTGTTTTCTACATATTACATATTTATTCCTCTTCAAAGTTAGGTTGCTGTGCTATTTCCCTGTGATTATGCACCAAGCATTATAGTTTTAAAAAAACCCCATTCCTGACTGGTGTATTCCAAATGCGTTTTAAGATAAGTCCCAGAATTTCTACATAGCACAAATTCTTTGCTTTTCAAATTGTTCAAAATGAAGGAAGAATGTCAGGTCAGGAAATCCTTGTTAAATTAGTGAGAACCGGTTTGAAAACAAATGATGATATTTTTCCATGGCAATGATTATCTGGCCTTTCCCTGTGAATCTGTAGAACGTGAACTACAAATGGGTCTACTGGCTTTCATCACTTGAAATATGTCTCTTTAAATACTTTAATGTCTGTTAATGATGCTTAAGTTGCAAAGAATGAAAAATATTTATTTGACAAGAGGATTTTGTGTGAATCTACAGTTCTGCACAACTATGATAAAACAGAGAAAGATAAGTAGCATTTGTAAAATAAATTGCTAATATTTTCTGGGTGAGACAAGGGACCTATACAGTTCTCTTATATATGAAACATATAATCAAAAATTAATTAATGATACAAATTTGCAACATTCCAGGATAATTTTAAATAAGCTTCCGCACCATATTTCATTAGAGAAGTTATTTTTTAAAAAAAAATCTGCAAAATGTGGCTAGTTTAAAATACAATGGATTGAATAATTTGTAACATTCATTTATTTTTGATTCAGCAAAACCATAGATTAAAAAGAATTTCTATATAAAGAAAGCACTAGTTTCAGTAATAACTTTTTGTATTTAGTTATGTAGTAATCTAGTTCAGAGTTCCCCAGCTGTTCAGGCTTTGCGGACTGGGGAGGATGAGAACGGATGGTTTGTGTGAGTGGCTGAAAAGCGCACTTGTGCGTGCGCAGCTCCATTAAAATGAGCAGCGTGCATGCACGCCTGCCACTGCTCGTACACTTGAGAATGCACACATACATTTCCATAGCCCATTTTCAGTCCCCTCATGGCCCACAGGCTGGGGACTCCTGATCTAGTTTGTCTTATGTTATCCTGAAGTACTTCAGCGTGTAGTTCAGGAAGGAGCATTTCCCAAAGTAAATTTTTTATTTATTTAAATTACATAGAGATAAGAGATTCTTATTAAAAACATTCACTAGGTGAGTAAAAATGAGCATTTAATTGCATTTAAGGTCTAGTATAAAACTTTTCAGTATTTTATATTTGTAAGACAATGAAGTACACAAGAAAGCTTACATTATACTCTTGTAAAAGCATATTTCTTCATGTTTCATCCAAGTCTTGCCACTTTTGTATTGACAGTAAAAATATGTCTTTTTTTGGTCCAACATCAATTCCACAGCCCTCTTTTATTATATGTGAAAATGTTGAACATATCCTTTCCGAATCAGTGGTCACATCTCAAAATTATGGCAAGAAGGGTGAGAAGATATGTATAATTGCTTTTTTATATGCTGGGTACCTACATAATTTTGTAATGTTGAAATTATTTATGGAAAGGTTTTGCTTGGTTCTTAATGAGTAAGTTACATTTTGTATAAACCTCATGCATCATATAACATCAGTGAAAAGTTTCAAGGGATGGGGGTTGATCAAGTTAAATTATTTTGCTGCTGCTATAGTAGCATGAGTATTGTCATCCAACAGCATAAAATAAATTATTCAGAGTGAAATGGATTGTAGTTAGATCATATATTGTGCATGTGGGCAGATGGGAAAAGTTCAAGTGGCCTATTACTGTGATTCTACTTCATATTTCAAAATATATGAGTAGTTGTGGTTTGTATTCTCCAACACCATCACATATATCTCTCTGCATCCAGAAGTACTACAGGATCCCTCCCAGTAGCCATCTTTACTAAGAGACAAGGGACATTCTTTTTCACATTTAACAAATGCTTTGGCAATGCTGTGAAGTTTAAGTTTGAACTTAATGTTGCAGTTGGCTGGTAGAAATGCAGACAGAGGTTCCACTAATTCATAGTCTTCTGCCCAGTTACTATACATCAGGGGGAACATTGGCCATTTGACCTTAGTGTTTGGACAACATATAAGGTAATTAAAGATATAGTCATAGTTACCAGGATCTGACTTTTTTTTAGCAAAAATGCAGAAAGCAAAATTCCCAGCATGTGGAAGATGGATCTTAAAGTTTATTTGATTTCCTTGTCGTTGTTGTAAGATATGTCGTGTTCTTACATCTTTACTAGGGCTTATGCTGTCTGAACGCAATGAGGGTAAAATGTCCAAGTCTTTACCGAGGATGAAGCTGAGGTTACAACAGCCATCATTAGTATGAATAACTGGATCTTTTTGTGAAGGTCTGAGGATCCCCTGTTTCTTTGTGAACCAGTTGGGCCCAACTGGTTGATTGAGTTCCTTTGGGAAGCAAACATTAGTGTCTATAGAACTGCACTCAATGATGTATTCTAGGATGAAGTCATAGCTTCCTTCAGGCGATTTGGCAAAGATTTGGAGTTCATGAGTCCCCATCTGCTGTGGGTATAGTTCTAGTTTCATCCCATTCTTCTTCAAAGTCATCAGGCTGTATTCTTTTGCCCTTTTCAGTTCAGTCATGAACAGCATTGGAGAAGAGCCCTCCACTACTATTGTGACTTTTCCATTTACTGTAACATGCAAATAAAGAAAGTTGGTTAGAATATGTCTTATTATTGAGAAATGCAAATCAATCAAAAAGCTTGTAGAGAGTGATCTGAACTCAGCTTTGCTGTCAGTCACTTTGGCAATGAAAAGGAGTATATTGTAGTTGAATACTGTGGCTAGAAATTGTTCAAAACCTCTGTCATATCCAAACTCAGAATAAAACAGCAACAGGATTGAAGTTAGGGAGATTTCAGTTTGGGGACTGGTTTGTTTTTATTTTATTACTAGCATAATACAGTAGAACTGCTCACCATTCTGAAGCAAGATAAAAGCAAATATGGCTTTTCTTCATTGTGGTGGAGATAGCATTCAGGCTTGGGTGATCAGTCTCTGCCTGTGATTGGACTGAGTCTGTCAAAACTTTGATGATACTCCCTCTGCTGCTAGGGACCTCCCCAGAAATTGACTCAGTCAGCTTGTTGGACGACGTGTTAATTTCTTTTCCTAGCAAATTTAACAATCCTTTCAAATTGATTGGAAAAATAGGAATAAAAACACCAATCCTGAATTCTATTGCAAGCCGGAACCAGTCTACCACTTTGACAGCTGTCAGACTACAATATGGCTGGGGCTCTGCCCCGGTCGTTGGACTTCGGATCGGCTGAGGGCTGATCTACAAGGTACTAAGGTTCTGGTTGCGGGAGGAGTTTGAATACCATCGTCACCTCCTTCCTGCACTTTGGCTTGGGAGGCTCCCAGCAGTTTCGGCCGTTGGAGACGCTGAGATTAACCGTGGTAGCCTTTAAAGGGGCAGAAGACCTGCAGTGAAGAGTACATTTAGTGAGAGTAGGTTTAGGAAAGTGGAAGGCTGCAGAGTGATCGGGGTGACTCCAGAGTAAGATCGTTGGAGTCAGAGATGGCAGAATCACAAAAGGCTAGCCGCAATGTCAGGAGAGGGGAGGGGGCGGCTCGACAGCTATCACTCTCTCTAAGCCCAGCAGCCCCAGAACAGATGGCTTCATTTTACAGCTCCAAGCCAAAGGACAAGGCTGCAGGAGCTCAAAAGGACTCCAAGGCAGAAGAGAGGGATGAGCGCCACAGAGACAAGGCCCTGGATAAAGTGTGGGCTCAAGGGGAAGAGCAAAATGATAAGGAAATGGCACCCTGCACAATTTCCCGCCCAAATGAGGAACGGCTATTATCGAGAGGAGAGAGGCAACTGCAAACTGACAGGACTGCAGTAGCAGAAGCGGCCATAGGGGGAGCTGAAGAGCAGGAATCTATTGAGGCTTCTGAGATCAGAAATTTCTTCTCTGTCTGCCCAGCAACAGAGCAACTGACAGTTACTGATCAGAGGCACAGAATGGCTCCAGAAGCAACCTTTACTCCCATGTCGGTTAGGATCAGACCAGTTAGGGCACAGGAATCTGAGTTCCAGGTTAATATGCAGGCTATGTTAAATGAGGCAGTGAGGCAAGGAGCGTCAGCTGTCTTGAGACAGACCAGAGGTTCTCCCTCAGAGGTTTCTGCTTCTTCATCCAGATGCAGGAGGAGACACAGGTCTCATTATGATGATGATCTTTCCCTGCATACAGAATCAGGTGCGTATATTCTGGCTGTAAGCTCCCACTCCATCACATCTGACAGTGGCCAGCTGGTGGACAGATACTATTCCGATGATGAGGGCCTCAACAAGGCTGACCAAGGCTCTATCCTTGGCTTGTTCCAACCTGCCATTTTTAGATCTCTCCTCTTTAAGGCCAAAAAGGCCACAGGGCAAGGCTTAGTCCCTGAATTGCAGGAGCCTGCAGACCCCTCTGAAGACCCCAATGACCCACTGTTTTCTGAGAAAACAGTCACAGCAGATGTCATCCCTGTGCCAAAGATGTTCACCACAGTCATCCAAAGACAGTGGTCGTCCCTCGGGTCCGGTCCAAGCCCTTTCTCCCTAGACAAGAAATTGTTTAATGTAGGAGGCGATCTTTCCAAGGGCCTGGAAGTGCCTGATGTCGATGCCCCAGTTGCGGTCCTGCAAGCCAACACAGGCATCTCTGGGGAGCCTGAGGACTCACTGAAGGCTGAGGACAAGAAGACTGAGCAAAAATGGCAAAGAACACACCTGTCAGCAGCATAGGCAGTGAAAGTTTCCACAGCCGCATCTTTCTTCAACAGGGCCTCTCTCATCTGGCCCCAGGAGCTACAGGAGAGAATGCCACTGGACGATGTCAGATCACACCTGTATGTGAACAAACTTGGCAGCAGTAGAGTTTTCAGCTGATGCCACACTGAGTGCTACCAGATTTGCGTCCAGGGCAATAGGGGGAACAGTGACCTCTTGTTGCTTGCTCTGACTAAAGCAATGGCAGGCTGATATGAGGCACAAGTGGAGATTGGCCACGGCCCCATTTAAAGGGGATAAATTGTTTGGAGAGGCTCTGGACAAGGTCCTAGTGGACTCCAAGGACAAAGGGAAGGTTTTGCCATCCAAGTCCAGAAAAAGTGATTATAGACCAACTCCCTATGCCAGACACTCCTATTATAGGACTCCCGAAACAGGAGGGGGATTCCCCAGACCCCAGAGGTCTTTCGCCTCCAGGCAGGAACAAACCCAGGACAGCACAGGTAGAAATCGTCCTTTTAACAATAAGCAGCCCTTTTGAGGGGCTGGGAGTCGTCCCGACGCCCCAGATAAAAAGGGACACCAACCCTCCCATTGGGGCACATCTGGCCTTGTTTGCCAGGCGTTGGGAGGGAGTAACCACTGACACCTGGGTCCTGGAGACAGTCCACTCTGGACTATCTATAGAAGTCCTCTCTAGGCCCCCAAGGTTTTTCATTTGTTGCCCTATCTCTAGGAATGCAAAGAGAAGGACCCTTATGGAAACAGCTATTCAGCACCTGCTGGAGATTCAGGCTATTCAGCCGATGCCTGAGGGTCAACAAGGCGTGGGATTCTATTCCATATGGGGTGTAATCCCAGGGGGCGCGGGGGGGGGGGGGATGGAGGGAAATTCTGGATTTGAAGCGCCTTAACTGCTGGGTGAAATACAGGTGGTTCAAGATGCATTTATTCCAGTACATCCTGGAGGGAGTTAGGGAGGGGGACTTCCTTACCTCAATTGATTTAACGGAGCCCTATCTCCATGTCCCTATTATCTCTGCTCATTGACAATTCCTCAGGTTCTGCTACAATGGGAGGCACTACCAATACAGGGCCTTGCCCTTTGGACTTTCCTCAGCCCCCAGGTCATTCACTAAGCTGTTGGCAGCCCACCTTAGGGCTATACCAGTTAGGGTCCAGTGTTATCTCAATGACATACTGGTCCAGTCATCTTCCCCATCTAGAGCTGTAGAGGATTTAGAGATCACCATTCAGGTGCTCCAAGATCATGGCTTCTCTGTCAATGAGGCCAAAAGCCACTACACTCCCACCAATACCTTACTCCATCTGGCAGCTGTTATAGATACTAATTCCTGCAAGGTGCCCTTATCCCAAGAACATCAGGGGAATATCAGGGAGTTAATTGGACAAGTGAAATCTAAACCTAGGGTATCCCTGGCTATGTTTCTAAGCTCCTGGGGAAAATGATATCATGCCTTAATATAGTGCCCTGGGCTAGACTGCATGCCAGGTCACTCCAATGGTTCCTTCTACCTTATTAGAAGACAGGTAGAGAGCTTCCGGTGGAAAGGCAAGGACGGTGAGAGGGGCAGAAATCCGCTCGTGATTCTAGCCTCCCTTTTCTTGAGTTTGGTGCGATCTTTCGGGGTGCTCGAGTCTTGGAGAGACTCGTGCCGGTGTGGGGGAACCTCGGGCTGCAGTGTGGGGAAAGCAACCCCCCTGTAACGAAGAGGAAGCCCTCCAGAGCCCAACGATCAAGAACAGCCTCCTAACAATGGAGGCTCCGAAGTCCGGACTGCCACCGATGGGAAGAAAAAAGTGAGTGAAAGTTTGCAAGCTCGGGGGGGAAAGAGAGTCGTGGCAGAGAAGATATTTGTTTGACAATAGACTGATTCCAGGCTGTTAAATACTGTGTGAATGCCAGCTGTGAGCTCCAAGACGAAGCGGCTACAAAAGAATTGGTTTAGTGAATGTGAAAGAGCTTGGCAGGCAGAAGAGAGTCGGAAATAAAAAAGAAGTAAAAAGAATTTTGGAAGTCTGAAGACTCTATTATCACTAACATTTGGATTGAAGCTATTAAATTGGATCCAGAAGCAGAACGAAGCCGATTGGGGGGAAAGACAGAGCAACTCCATAGGCAGCACCCAGAACGTTGAAACGAGTGGGAATATTGCTTACTGGCAGCTGTTACTCAGCAAATCTTCATTTGCCATTTCCGGTGTGCTAGAAGTGGAAGCTTCCAAAGTGAAAAGCGGAAACAAAAACTCTTGTCTTTGGAATTTTCTTTTTTCTTTTTCTCAACCCTTTTCTGTGTGTACATACTTACTAAAAATAGCCTCTCTTCTTTCTTATTTGTTGATGGTATACTATGTTGAAATATGCTTGCTTTTTTTTTTCCCTCTGATTTCCTCTTGATAAATATGTACATTTAGTAATGAAATATTAGAGTGTTAAAATATTGGATTAATTTAGTTAAGTTATTATTAATAGAGATTGTTATAATTTGAATGGGAATATAGGGGAGACAGTAAGAATATTAAGCATTAGCTACTTAATAAGCTTAGAGCTCTCTAGACCAATATTATATTTCTTTGTGTGGGTTTATCTGTGAATGTAATATATTTTATAGTTAAGGTTACTTTATATTGAAGTTAAACTAGAGAAAAATATATACACTTTACTAATTAGTCAAGAATATAGCTACTTAATAGGTTGATAGATCTTGGTCAATTTTAGTTACAGAACTAAGAATACTGAATGCCAATTTGGAATAATATATTCAATATTGTACAACAACAAAAACAAATTTTGAAGGAAATGACTACTACAACTACCACTGCTTTGAAATCTGGTAGGAAGGTTAATCCCACAATAATGTCTACTTTGACAACAACTTCACCC